AACAGCTTTTTGCATGCATTGCACTGCACTTTCTAATTGTACACAAATATGGAGCATGTCGGAAATATGCCCTGTGGACAAGATGTGCGTTAATTCTAAAGCTTCAAAACTGATGTTGTTTTGTCCAAACACTTTCATTTCAATTCACTAAAGTTGCAGGTGGACAGGCACTGTGCTTGGACCAACCTAGATAGATCCATCGGTTATGCTTGCACCAACAGGTTGCTCGATGGCAGCTCCAAGGCATTGAGGGACTCCTTTTGAGTTCCTTGGTGCGAAGGCTCAGGACAGGTGTTAAGCAGTTCTGCGTTGAGGGTACCAAAATGAATCAAAATGATTAACACCAGCAGGTTTGGATGCCTTTTGTTTGTCGAAACAAGGTCCGAGGCCCACTGCGACTGAGTGCGCCTGTTTTGATTCAGGGCAGGCCAGTCACATTCCAAGCTTTATGTCAGTTGTTGTCCAAGCATTGCATCAAATTCAACACGAGCTATTAATGCTCGTGAAGGTGAACCGGCGTGTTTGCGTCGATGTTGTTCGCTATTGCACCAGAACCCATCTACTGGAACAAAGTTTGAGTGACAGCCTACCGACCGGAGTCTTGATGAGTGTCTATCGCATGTGCCACGATTCAGGTACGATCACAATCGGCCGCAAGTTTGACTACACAAGCTGTGTGCTTGCTTTTGGTCAGCGCCTGAAAAATGGGTGATGGGTAATCACAGGTCCAACGACTAGGTGACATTGTAATTGGAGCAGTCTTGCGGATCTACTCTACTTACCTGGGCAAGATCCACATACCAAGGAAGAAGAAGAAGAAGAAGAAGTGTTCTTCCTGCAATGGTATTGCTTTTGTGCATGCTGAAGCGGCCCTAGTGTTCGCTTTCTCTATTTCTTAGTTCAGTTCATCTTGGGCCCTGAGTCACCTGCCTACCTGCCTAAGAGCCTCCAAGATTGTGGCCCTGGCCTAAGGATGGACTCCTCAACCTCCGACCATCTTGCAGTCTAGCCTAAGCTTCGAGGCGTGGTGTTGCCCAGTGGGTCCAAAAGAAGCTCAGACTAGAGATGTTTCTTAATTGGGGGCAAGCGGTTCCTGTGCACACAAGGGACCCTGAGCGGTGCAGGCAGCGCTGGCAACGGCCAGAGGCTCTTTGGCAACAGACTTTGAGAAGGCAAGGCCTGGGAGCTGTGGCTGCTATTAGCCCTTTCTTTATTGTTTGTCGGTACTTTTTGGTCAGGGTCTCCGGAACATAGTCTTTCAATGATTTCGTTTTTTGCACAATAGACTCCTTTATTAGGTGTGCAGTTGTTTGCAGCAGCTTCGCGTAGTTTTTGATGTGCTTGCATGCTAGTGCTGAAAAGTTGATGAAACGATATGAAATGTAATTGCTCCTAATGAGCTGTCAAGATCATTGATAAATTGCCATTTGAAGATTGGCAGCATGAAGAATCCGTCCATTCCTTTATATACTTATATACATATGTGTATATATATATATACATATAGTTACATATGAAAGAGAGCTTCGAGTTTATTGTGGTTAAATACAACAGAGGGTGCAGCAGCCCTTGCCCTTGCCCTGGTTTGCTTTATGCCATGTATTTTTACGTACCGTACAGTGGTACATTACATTGTGTATGATAATTATGCAAGAATCTTGTGCAACTGTTGATTGTTTGTTACCTTTCGTTAGTGGAAGTGATGGAGTTACCTGATGGATTTCAAACGCATTGGGCCAGCTCTGAGTTCATTTCCCTTTAACTTCTTCCTCGCGCCTTTGCCGTGCAACATGCAAACAAATCCTGAAACAAGCACCCAACGAGTTCTCAAATATCCAGCCACCCAAAAATGTATTGTATATATATATATATTAGCATGCATTATTTTCTAATTTATACAGTTCTCACCCGGAACAAATGCCAAGAGAGGATGCGATGGTGATCAATGGATCTCATGGTATTGTGACGTTTTGTGGATTTGCCAGGGAGATGGAGTTGGCACCTCAGCTTTCCAACAGAGAAGCTTGATTGTCAGCCCCAGCGTATTAAAAGTGCAGTCTCAGACTCAGACAAAGCCAACAAGCAAAGACACTCCAACAGTCCGTTAAAGAGTCTCCAAGGATGAGAGCTACGTTTGGAGCGTTGGTGATGCCCAAGCATCTATGCATGATGGCAGGCAGAAGTGGGAGCATTCATGGATGTGCAAACGAAGCATCGGAGTGTAACGGTTTAGCATGTTCAGCACCAAAGCTACAGATTTTGTTTCATGAAGATTCCTGTTACTAGTAGTAAGGCCAGGAGAGCCCCGGGTAGGTGTCCTTGCTCCTAGTGATGCCCTTTGTTACTAGTAGCGTCCCTTGTTCCTAGTGATTGGACTCATCAGACTTGTTGGCCGGACAAATACATACTGTACGTACAACGGTCCGCGTTCTGCCAGGACTGGCGCAGCTTTGGACTGTAGAGGTGCGCCTGGTGCAAGAGCAGTTTGACGTTGACCGCAAATCAATAGCAATGTAACAATCCACACAGAGTGATGTTTGATATGAACCCAGAGAGTGTGTATGCACATATCTACAATGAGTATAGCAGTTCTCCTCTCTGTCGTGTTGGCTTTTGTATTTTTCCTCTTGGCTTTGGTATTCCATGTAGATTCCTTGGGAAGCACTCCTTATCACTCCTTGGCATTCTCAATCGGACTGGACAAGTGCTCACTCTTGATGCAATAGGAGCCTCCCGGCAAGCTGCACCTCAAGTCGCCGGTGCAAGGCAGCGCAACGGCGCAACGGAGATTTGGGCTTGCCAATCATGCTTCACCTGCTCAGCAAGCTGACCGACTTGAACAGATTACTTCTACTAGCGATGGCTAGCGATGGCCTCCAACCTATGGCCTCCAACCTACTAGCTGACTTGAACAGATTACTTCTAAGACTGATGCATTTGGTGCAGTTTGCTGGCGCTCTACAAAGCATTGCCCATGCCTTCGAGAGAGGAGAAGGCCAGATTCTTTAGGAGTGGTTGTGGTGGCCATTTGACTTAATCGACTTTAAGATTCAAGACCAGCAAGTCGACCATTTGCATGGGTTGGAGACCATCGCTAGTAGGTTGGAGACCATCGCTAGTAGGTTGGAGGCCATCGCTAGTGTGAGTCCAATTCAATGTAACCAATGCTCTCCACTGGTGAGAATGTCGCCCAAAAGATCCGGCGTTGCAAAGCGCTGCTCCTTTTCGCGGTTCCTGCAAGCGAGGACATGGCTTCTCCCTACAAGGAAGTCAAGAACCAAGTGGCCCAGAAGCTGGGCACAACGCTGGAGAGGTATCAAGAGCTTCGGGAATGATTCACTTGGCTTTGGTTTGACCACGCAGTAGTGTAATTAATTTGCCTGCCTCATCTCTTCTGGAGCCGTTGTTAGTTGGGTGGGTTGATGTACATCTCGCTGGAACAATTGCAGGCGGCGCCTTGCACTGCTTGATGCCTTCCAGAGCAGGTTGGGGTCTTTGGGCTTTGCGGATCTTTTCACGTTGATGGCAAGACCCATGTGGCAGGTGTGCACCTGAGACACTCTTTGCCCCTGATCCAAGGGTTGGAAGTGCCGACAAAAATCAGTGCACACTTGCCGGTTGTTTGTGTAAGGTGTGTGGGTTGCTGCCATGTTTATTTGCCTGGCGACAGGCATCAGTTGTTGGTTTCAGGTTGTGCCGTTTTTTCATGTATCATGCGTGCGCCAACCTATGCCCTTAGGTGGTTCGACGCACCCGGGGACAAATCTGGCATTGTGAAGGGGCACCAAGTTGATGAATTTTCGCAAAACAAGCTTTGGTGCCAAAGGCCATTGGTACCCGAGAAGGCGAAGAAGAGCAAGAAGCCATGAGCAAAATGCTATCGCCAACCCTTTCACCCCAAAACCCTGAAAGGACTTGGGCAAAGTACTTTGGAGGCTCAGCACCACTAGCAGCAGTCACTAGCATGACCCAGCGTCTCCAGTGCAGAAAAAAGATGAAACTGTGAATCACGCGCCCTTTTCACCAAAAGTGCCGACGGACTTAACTGGCACCCGGCAGCGTGGGCAAAATTGTTACGAGGGCACAGCGCCGCAAGCGCAGTCCAGAAACCTCACACAACTCGAGGCAAGCCCAAGAAGCCAAGCCGTGATGTCACGATGATGAAAAGAACGAAGCTGAAACATGCGTGCCATTGCCTTCTCTTACCCCAAAGCCCTGATGGACTTCCGAGCAAACCGCCAAGCCTAAGCCAGGCAGCACGGGCATAAGTGATTTGAAGACTCAGGGCCACATGAGCGAACCGTTCTTGAACCAACCTCTTCACCAGAAAACAATATGTAGCGGACTGCCCTAGCAGCCGAACCGCTTTGTGGACACATGGCTCAAAGCTAAGAGTACCTATCTCCTAACTCAAACTTGTATCTCCTCTTCGCTGCTCAAGCCAAAGTCTTGAGCCATGGTGGCTTGAACTCCATTTGAGTCGCGTCACGCGTCTGTTCTACTCAAATGGCCCAAGTCAGCAATGTCGCTCATTAGAACACTTAATTGATCCCAAAGTGACACGAACCAAAGCTTAAGTGCTCACCATATCTCACCATTATTTTATCTACTCAATCTAGCAGATGGCTTTGCTACCAGCTGGAATGCTGATTTTTTGTTTCTGTTTGTTGCGTCAACGCTTTTCCAGCTATTGCTTTTGCACGTTGCCTCGGGTGGGTACTGGGCCATGCCAATCAAATAGGAAAAGGCCCATCATAGCAAGTCCAAAGACACAGGCGACTGAGTGACCAATGAAACTATGAAACGTCCACATTCTGCAGACCTTTGATCAAGTGCTTTGATGGAAAACAAAGAGAAGCTAACCGACTAGCCTAATTATTTGGCTGTGTTTCACATCCAAAAATCCAAAGTGAAAGAAATTGTTGGTGACATGATGCAAATGAACTGAAATGAATTGAACACAATGAAGGTCATAAGACACTCAACTGACCCAAGTGATTCTGACCTTTTCCGTTGGTTCTTTCTTGCAAGCAGCCATGGTGCCTTGCCGTCAGTGAGTGGAGCCATGGCAAAGCCCGGGCCTTTTCTTACGAAAGAAGATATCTCCGGAACATGTTGATACACCAGGCAACAAAGTTTTCACCCGGGATTCCTGCGCATGAAGCGCTAGCCTTTGATTTTACTTTGGGTCTCACGGGTCCACCACTGAAAGAAAATCCCTCAGGAGTCCTTGGTGTCAAGCATTGATTTCGCATTTGATCTCGTCCTCCGCCCAGGTCAGAGAGGATTCCAGGTGCAAAGGGGCCAGATGTCCATCACCACGTACCATGTTCATGAAGTACGTACTGAGCCTTTCGTGGGGCTTAGTGGGGAAGCAAAACTTTGAAGGACGCACCTGACCTGACTTTCCGATAGTTGAGGTAGAGCCAGCTAGGACCTAGCCTTTTGGACTTTGGTAGGCGGTAGGCTACATGTTGCAGTGCATAATGATGATTGTATATCATTCCTACAAAGGTTGTTGGGTCAGCGTTGCACATGATGAGCATGCATAGATGCACGAGCGTCAAGAGCAGCTGAGCATATTATTCACAACGCAGGGCAAGATTGGCACAGTTGGTTGCTCAGGGGCAAGGTCCGGGGAGGTGGAAGAGAATTAGCTAATTTGCTCCTAGTAAGGCCAGGAGCCCCTAGTAGCGTCCTTGCTCCTAGTAGCGATGCCCTTTGTTCCTAGTCTTCTTGTTACATGGATCAGAAGAAGCTCCTTAGCATTCACAGTTGATTTGCCTCGACTCAGGCGACAAGGATCCTGGTGTTCCCAACTACTACTTTCTGAGGCCAGGAAGAACAGGGGAACAAGCAAGTTTTGCTCTGTGTAGGCCTCCATACGGAGTCAAATAGAGCGTGTGGCAAAACCCACCACTCTCAACCGCAAGCAGCATGATAATTGGCCAGGACAAGCAAACCGCTAAGGCTGAGCCCTGAGACTCCCGGAAAGGAGATCGGGTACGCAGAGATAAGCAGGTGATCTGGGAAGTAGGAGGATTAGATAAACCAGCCACCTGGTTGGGTTTGCTCTAGTCTAGAAGTTGAGTTTGAGTATTGATACAGCAAGCACCTCCAACAGACTAGGAGCAGTGCATCACGGGGGGTCCTTTTGCCAGTGCTCAAGATGTGCCCATCCACTAAAAGAGCAAGCAATCTTGGTGATTCTGTCCCTTCACCATGTTCAAAGAGCTTGTAACATAGTATAATAGGAGCAAGGACGCTACTAGGGGCTCCTGGCATCGCTACTAGTAACAAGAAGCTACTAGGGGCTCCTGGCCTTACTACTAGGAACAAAGGACGCTACTATTGGTCTCTTTTTGGAATCTTGAGGCTGACCGGCCAAGAGATTCCTTCACTAAGGCCAAAACGACTGGCGAGGTGCGCTGGATTGCTAGTGTACAGGATGTAAGTTCAAACCATCTTTTCTGATACAACATGCTCAAACTGGAGTTATATCAAAGACACCTTGTAGCCAGGCACCTTGTAGCCATGGCAGGTGGAATCGCTGTTTTGGCATGAATTGCGGTTGCCTCGTTCGGCGTCTTTCGGAATGAAGTGAAGGAGCGAGAGTGGTCCTCATTTGAGTACGGCCCCTGTGGAAAACCAGTCGCGGCCTTTTGATCGCATGGGATTCATGATGTGAAGGAATTGATTACTGAAGGATTTGACACTTGGATGTTGCATGATGTTACAGTGTTTTGTATCCTTTGGTGAAAATGTTGTTTGTGAAACGAACTCATTGACTTGCTTGCTTGAGTTTGTTTTTGTTTAGCATGCTTCTATGACGCTCGTCAGTCCCATCCTTTTCCGATCACCCCGGAACCTTCTCATCATGCCGACCAGCACAAGGCGCGTGCTTTGCCACGCGGGGCGGAGCACGTTGCGGAAGCCACTGAGCCTTGCGAGCCTGGCAGAGGACGGAGAGTCAAATTGATGTGAAATTGTCACAGTTGCCACTTGCTTACATTAGTTGTATCCCAGGGCACCTCAGGAACTTCAGGGTATCCAAAAAGCTTCAGCCGTTCGGGACATCGTCTTGAGTGGAGAAGCGTCCTGGCACTCAAGCCAGAAGCATGGACAAGATGTGCTTGGAGTTTGTAGGGTTTGTGTAGGAGTGCAGGTTGCAAGATATGCACAGCGAGGATGTTCGGTCGGTTGCTGCAGGATCTGGCACCAGCTTTCCACAGTGAGTCAGTGAAGGTCCTGAGGAGGATGAAGCGATATGAAACAATGTGCAGGAATATGGTTTAATAGCTTCTTGCTACTAGTAACAAGTGCATCGCTACTAGTAACAAGTGTATGTTTACTACTAGTAGCGATGCACTTGCTCCTGGTAGCAGAGAGTGTGTCAGTCAATGTGGTTGTGATACCTCGGGGCAAGCCTGAGGTTGAGGAGCTGCCGCCTGGCATCTACGAGTGCCGGTCAAAGCTCGAGGCTGTAGACCAGCGACATATACCGTGTTAGAGGATGCCGAGAGAGAAAGGAAACATGTCACATCCCAAATCGTACGTTGACCATCTAAGTTGATCTGGGTGAAAAGCTTTTCTGACGAGAACAAATGGCGGAGTAAAATTGTTTAGAACCTACGACCTACACCAGTGTCAGAATCATTGCAAGGGAAACGCTTGTCCCCCCTGTCCTGGGAAAGGAAGAAGATGGGAAGAAGTCTTAAGACCTAAAAGCAGAAAGCACAAGTCCGATGTTCTTGCATCCTGGCTTCGTTCGTAACTCTTTGGCCAAAGGCATTCCGGAGCGCAGCGGTGGAGGCCATTTCTATGGAGGCAGCAAGCCCACTTTGTAACTTTGTATAGGTTTCCCAATATTCAAGTGAAAAGCGGATTGAAAGAGGCATTATTATATACTGTACACGCAAACATTCCATGTTGTTTCGACATGTTTGGACCCCATCATTTTCATGACAATGAGGCATTCCGCATAGGCCATGCTCACAGTAGCAAGCATTTCTTCACGATATCATTGTATCATGAAGTTCATCGCCCTTGTGAACTTACTATATACGTACCTACCCAATGTTGGCCAGGAGCCCCTAGTAGCTTCTTGCTCCTAGTAGTACGGCCAGGAGCCCCTAGTAGCGTCCTTGCTCCTAGTAGTACGGCCAGGAGCCCCTAGTAGCGTCCTTGCTCCTAGTAGTACGGCCAGGAGCCCCTTGTAGCGTCCACAAAGCACTAGTTTGGTTGGATTCACTTGTATTGTTTGGTGTCCGAAGATGTGGGAAGTGTTTGGTCTCCATGAGGTCCGTTCATGAGTCGCTCTTCTGTTGTGTTCTTGTGAGGCTCAGATGCAAATCGAGCAACAGAGGTGGAACATCGATACGGAACTCTGACAGAGTTTGGTCTTCGTCATTTGTGAACATTAAGTGAAAAGGTTTTAACATTCGTGAGCAAAAGCTTGATGAGTGCGAGATTCTCCAATCGCACAGTTGCTTTGACAGGAAAAATGCGCCTTCGCCAAAGGTCCCTGGCTTACTTTGGATGCATGAAGCAACACACATGACAAAAGCACAACAACAAGAACAAAACCAGAAAGCTGACCACAAAGGCCAACAGGGACCAACACAAAAGAACAACCTGGGGGGTCGATCAACAGAATCGTCTACTACACTACCAGGGTGGTTTAGGGGCCAAGGTGTTGAAAGGCTTCAACAAATGTTTGAATAGACAGGACATTCATTAATGTCCGAGCTTGCCGTCCTGTTTCAGAATTGCAAGTGATGCGTCATTGATGTCATCCTGAAGGTTAGGCAATTTCCAGATGCAATATCGAACGCAATGAGGCTGAGAAGACCAAGCCCAAAAGACAGGCTGGAATGAGGAAGCAACCCAAGCATTGGGGGCGCTGAGGAACAATACTGGCTGATTCCAAATTGTTCCAAGGGTTCCTTTTGGTTCAATCATGCATGCCTGGTGGGCCACTGGTGATTTTCGGGGGTTGTCTTCCATCATTTGTGATCACGAGACATCCACTTGGTTGACTCTTGATACAGCTGACATGCCCCGCCAGGTCGGCTACCGGCCAAAGCCAGCCACTGAAGGCTGGACGAGATACGATTTTGGAGAGAATTGAACCACCCAACCAGATGTTTCGGTCTTGACTATAATTATCCCCTGCGACCAGCTGGGAATTGTGAAGAGTCGTTTGGTCTGGTAGAAAGTCGTTTGGATGCTGCATTTCCATGCTAGCTAGATGCAAGATGATGCAAAACTAGAAAAGCTTTGGAGTATCAGTGCTGGTCAAGTTTTAGTGGGAACTGGGTGGGTATATAGCTGGCACTCGCACCAGTGTAGCCATGGTTGCCCCCCAAACTTGTTTGTAGGGAATTGTAGGGATGTCATCCTCATGGCACTAAACTTGCGTCTGATCAGGTTTTGGTGCCCCATGGTGCCCCCAAAGCAACAAACTTCAACACAAATCTTGTTTCTTTATGTGCAGGGACAATAGTTCTTGATGTACAACAATTGCAAACATGCTTCCATCAAGCGTTTCCATGGTGGTGCAATACAAAACGGGGTGACTTGTCGCAAGCCGGGTGATTTTTCACTGACGTTGCATTTCCATGCGGCCGGGTGACTTAACACATGCGCTTGTAATAGCTAGTTTGCAAAGGCCTACATTCCTAGCCCTCTCTTTGCACAGATTCCTTTGCGGCATACTGTACCGGAAACTGTGCAGGTCCGCCTGGCATTGACGAGTGCAGAAGGTTGGAATGTGTCGGAATGCCAATATAACCGATGTTGCCTACAAGTTTGGAGATTATGTTTATCTATTATATATATTCTATTATCTACATAATACTAAACTGCAGTATCGTGAAGTCGGGATCTTCAAGAATGTACAATGTTGAACTCATGGCTTGGGTGGCGAATGCATTGATGATGAGCTTTACAGGGTTGCGGCAGACCCTCCCTGACCTCTTGACGTTTGCATTGGCTCTGGTTCACAAAGCGGCGTTGGCTTGGGGCCTGTTGGTATGCTGACCGCCTTTTAACTTTTGTATTCCTTTGATTCCTTTGAGGTTCTTTGTGTATTGGCGGCCAAGCCTGCAGGGGTTTTGAGCAATCTCTCTCGTGCTATGGTTTTTTCTTCCTCTTACGCCACGTGCCGCACGCCCAACTCCTCTGGATTTGCACAAACGAAGTTGCGGCGGTGTTCAAAGGACAGCGATTTGTCTTCCCTTCCATTCCTGCGTTCTTTTTTTCAACGATTTCAGCTTAATTATTATATATATAATGTTTCTGGTGTTTGGTGTTCCCCTTTCCTTCATTCGTTTGTTCTTTCCTTGTGCATACTTGTGGCTCTTTCTTGCCATTGTGGCGTAGCTCCAGCAAGCCAGGGAACACCAAGCCCCCGCATTTTCTGACACACCTTTCTGACGCGCAAAAAAGAATGCACAAGGGGGATGCTGGGAACTTCCCAGTGTTCATTGTTGGCTGTTGTGGTTTTGATGTTCTTGTTCATCTTGTGTTCGTTGCTGTTGATGTTTTTTGTGCGGGGGCTTTGGAGCATTTTTGCCTCTATAAAACACTTTCACCCTGATTGTTTGGTTTGAATGAGGGAAAGATGTTGTTTTTGTTTGTGTCTTTCTTCGCTTCATTTAGAGGTCGCTATTGTGGGTGTTTGTTTTGCTTGTCTACCTTGGGTCCTGGCATGTTTGCTTCGCCCTCGAAATCTTTTCCAAATTTGTCCGGGCACTCAGCACATCCCAAAATTGTGTGGCAAGCAAAGCTGGAATATAGAAGATCTGTGAGCAATACAGTGTATGTCTTGCATGCCCGAGAGATTTTCTCACATTTCCACAGAGACCCCAACAGATTGCAACTTGAAGTCGACTAACTAGAGTCATAGGCCGACCGAGTGACCCTTGGTGAAAATGGTGTGGGACGCATTTTTTCTGGCCTGTGGCCCAAATTATTTGCCATGTTCTTGGCGCTTTGGATGAGCTAGTTTATTGTTTTTCAATACCCTCAAACCAGAGCAAAGTTCTTGGAACGTTTAAGGACAATGGGCAGGATTGTCAGTTTAGTTATATCAACCACGATTTGTTGATTGAGATGTTTGAAGAACGTTTTTGTCTTATCGGATTGCATTGAAACATATTAAAGCAACCAGAAGCGTGTCGGTCATCCGTTGCTATTCTGTATGTCTTGTCCAGCGTCCTCTTGTCATTTATAAGTCACTTAGCTATTCCAATATGGTATCAAAATCTTTTTGATTACGAAGCCTGAAGATGAACAGTTGGGTAGCATTCTTCCTGACCCAACGCCTACCTTTTGTGAAGAGTTTGATTAACTCCTTGTTCTTTCGAACACCGCGTTCGTTGTCAGCCCAGTCGTCCATGATGATACAGTATCAATCGTATAAGTTGTTGAATATGTGTTTGTATTTTTGGAACTGGACGAGACTCCGGGTTTTCGGACTACCTTCAGCGGTTCCTCATGCAGAGATCACCGGATTGCCATTCAGATGCACACTCGTTTTGCTTAGTAGCGAGAAGCTACTAGTAGCAAGGTGCCTTACTAATTGCTAGTAATTAGCAAATAGCTACTAGTAGCTCCTGGCATTACTACTAGGAGCAAGAAGCTACTAGTAACATCTAGTAACAATGATCAGGGAGTACACTTTGTCGGCAAAGCCTCGGTGTTCATCGAGCGTCGGCGTGACGGTGGTTCTCGACCTTGCCCCGAGAAGAACGGGGACTTGTGGGACCGGTTTTGGGATGCATTGGCAAATTGGACAGCGTGGACCTTGTTCATGGTATGGGTCCCACGAGGGCGTCGTGAGAGGTGTGCTATTTTTGCTTTTGTCGCTGACTTGCTGCTACCTTGCTTCGTGAAAACATGGGGGGGGGGGGGGCAATGACGTTGATTTTCTTTCGTTCGCTTGAAGATTGAAGATAACTTCGTACTTTGTTTACTTGAAGATAACGTTGCACTTCGTTCACATTAAGATAGCTTGCCACGGTTTCGAGCGCGTGAGAGAATGAACATGTGTTAGTTAGACCTCATGTTGAAACAAACTCAAAACATCAAAGAGTTCATCAAATAAAATCATCTTCTATGCCTTCAACCCGATACGAAGACTGAATTCAGTTTTTTTGAGTGTGATTTTGAAGGTGAAGATGAGTTTATTGCTCATTTACATCCGGATTTGCTTTGCGCTTTATGCGGGCGTCTTTCCTCACGTTGATAAGCTTGATGCAGATGATACAATTCAATATGTGTTGAACAATGTTCACGGCAAAAGGTTTGGTAAAGTGGATAGTTGGCCTGATGAAAACTATGACAATGTGAAACTTGGAAAACTTTTACAAGAGATGTTTACACGAACCCAAATGAAAATAAGTACTATTTTAAACTAAACAATGATTTGCCTTGTCCAAACATATTGTGTCAATTTATCTTTAATCCCAAGCCCAAACATAAGACACAATATCCTAAACAAAAAATCAACCTCATCCTAAAAGAAACGTTGAGGTGAAAGTTAGGGGCAAACAGGCGCCGCAATCCCCACGACATAAAGAATTAATAGCAAGGAACAAACGTTGAACACCAACACAAAACCCAACAAGGCAACACACGAACACAGCTGTCCTTAAAACCTTCCTTTTACATCCTTTTACATGGTTTTTCTCCGTCCTTAAGCTCCACTGCGTGCTGCCCTCAACATGCTCACCTCCAGGTGCCCGCCCCACGCCCCCTTCCTAACCACCGACCGGTGCCACTTTGGGCCGTTGGACGCACTATTGCACCGGCACCTTCCTCGTAGCCTCACGATACATAACATACTTGATCACATGCTTGCACACGCTCATGTAGGTGTTTAACCTCTGTTCAGAATGGTTGCGTGGTCACCCAGGACCAAGGAGTTGTTTCATGCAAGTTGTCCACCGTGTCCTTGCCATTCCTTTGAAACAGGAAGCTGCTCGCCTTCAAGGAGATTGTAGAACGAGCAGAGCGTACGGTACCCGAAGTCCGAGGAGCACTAAAAATATTTAGTTGGATTTCACCAGTGGTGTTTTTGACCCTGAAGTGCCATCCCAAGTACTGGAATGAATCGGAGCGGCTGTATGTAATTGAGTTCCGCTGAGTTCAATGCCCTGAAGCACAATGGGGGTGATGAGACATGAGGATTTTTGATACAGACCAGTCTTGAGCGGGAGTTTCAATCCCAACTGCGAAACTGACTTGGTTCTTTAGTAGTTCAACACATAATCTTTGCTCAGGCAGCAAAGACAAAGACGAGTCAGTGAGATGGCAAGTGGGAAACTGACCACCGTAGGAGGAAGAGCAGAGCCACAGTCAGCACGGGAGATGCTGTCCATGCGCTGGCATGGGTAGATTGTGCTTGCTTCAAAGTAGGAAGCGTCCCTACTCACTGAGCGAACAGGTTTCAGTATGCTTTGCTCATCTCGAATTTATGTTGCCATTGGAAATACAATTAACAAGGAGTTCCGTGGATATCCTTTCTCTGGGCAATCACATATCTCGTTTTAGGCTTTTGTGTGATGCTCACATATGTGCATATAACCGATACCCGAAGGTCTAGGTTCAGTGGGAACCAACAGGCAATTCCGCCTCAAAACCTGAGTTTCTACACATATATACCAGAGGTTAAAACCTTCATCACGGCTTTGCTTCATCCACCCACTTTTTGCGTCATAACACTGCTCTTTGCTACTTTCACATATTTGAGGTTGGGAAAGGCAAGCAATAACTCTGAGCAATGCCGTGGCATGCCAGCATTTAAAGATGCACCTACAAGTCACGTTGACATGTCGGTGTGATTTAGGATTTTGCATCTACAGATGTTTTGGAAACGAAAGGAGACGGCCCTTGATAGAAGGCCTTCAATGTGACCCAAAGAAAACGGTCAGAAAAAGTTTATATGCCTTGCAAGAGTAACATACCCGTGCAGCAGCTTTCAATGCAACGCAAGAGCTCGTAAGAATTTGAGCTTGGGATGGTTCAATCTTCACCGTTGAACCAATGATTGAGACAGGTACAGCATCAATTCAACATGGGTGCGTTAAGTAACTCGGGTACATCCAAAATACTCCATATATATAATGTATATATATATATACAGTATGTATAATATTTATAATGGTCAGACAAACTGTGAAATCACTTCCCTAGCAGAGGGCTTTAGGGGCATCCAGTGCCCCTGTGCTGATGCTTGAATTCTACAAGTACAAGAAACATATAATGGTAGCTGATCAAACCTTAGTGGGCATGCTAGAGAGGGAAGTATCAGAAACAAGACTGAGACATAAATCCCCAGCCCACTACAAGAATCACAGTTGTGGGCTGGTCTTAGTTGATCCAGGGTCAACTCGCGGTCTGGACCCACTACAGTACCTCATGTGCAGAGACACACAGTCCTGGAAATGTGCACAATTTCACGTTGTAATTTGCCGAATTGGATATGATTGAATGGCATTCAACCGTGGTGTGCAAGCACTCACACGTACCCAAGCCAGCAGTATCCCAGCAGACTGTTTTTGGCTTGCTTTAAAGTCACCGAACGTACTCACTGACCGGGCCCTGTCGAAGACATCTCTGGTCGTCATGCAAATGAATACTGTTGCAGCTTTCTTAGCTGTATTCGCAGACTTTCCAAAACCATACTTGGTCAAGCCAAATCTTTGTAATTATAAAAGTATATCCAGTATATCGAACCTGCAAGTTGGTGAAACTACAACCCTGTGACCTGTGAAGGAAGCATTGAGACGGCACGTGTTTTGCTTTCAAAAGCGCCTGGCTCTATGCTTGAAGAGCACCGTCAGCAGCTGGCCTGGGAAGCCATGGAGCCAGTATTCACTTGCCATGCCCACTTTTTTGCTGCAGGCACTGTCAGGCACTTGGCCTTGCTCAATTTCAGAGAAGAAAAGGATTCGGATTCAGCAGGCATAAATTGATTAGGCCATCAACCAACAGGTGATCTCGATCACAGACTGACACCCTGACGTCGGTTAGCCCGCTGTTTGTTCTTAACACAATGTCCTAGCGACAGAAGATCAGATGAAACAACCTCCTGTCAGACCTGCAGCCGCAAGTTTCACCCCAGTTGTTTCACCCGTGCCGTAGGTTGATGAGTGGAGCCCCGATAAACTCAGTTAAAAAGGAGGTAAGGGTACCAGAGTCGCCTGCAGAGTAAGTGTTGCACCTCGATTGGGTCCTCGGGCCCGGAAGCTGTCAATTGATTGAGGTGTCCATTCGGTTCTTGGTAATACTAGTAGCTTCTTGCTACTAAAAGCGATGCCAGGAGCTACTAGTAGCTTCTTGCTCCTAGTGGCGATGCCCTTTGTTACTAGCAGCCAGTAGCTTCTTGTTATATACTGACTAATAGTGTTGGTTCTTGGCTCAAGATCAGCTACGCTTTCTCCTTGAAGACATTCCCTTGAATTGAAGATAGTCAGTTCTGTGGCAGGCAGGACTCAGTGCATCACACTTTCGGCAAGGAAGGAAGTTGATTCGCACTCCCTGCAACCTCCAGAGATCTCCAGATCCTTAGAACTCCGCTGAAGCTGCCTTATGGCGTGGTAGCCACCCATCCTGCACAACCATCAGACGCGTTATCAGGCTCGATCGGCCTCGTCCAAAAGATTTCTTTCAAAGCTGCCTTGTTAATGTACTGTAATACTGTATATATATATATCTTTGCACCGACCTGTATAGTAACGATGACCTCCAGCCTAAGAGTGATGGCTTCCAAACCAATGAAGGAGACTGCTATTTGGTATTTTGTTCCGTGCCAGGTGCGCCAGGCTCCCGGTCTTTGGAACCAAGGCGGACCCAATAGATTCTAGACTCAACTTATATCTGCAGATTTGCAATGATTTGCTTGCAATGCTTGGCAATGTGTTCTGTGATTTTGAGTCGCTGTGTATGACGATGTGTTAGATTCCCAGGCTCCTTCACTGTGCCTCTTCCTTATGCCCAGCAGGACTTTGCAATGTGCTTTCTTGTTGTGCAAGAGGCTGTTGTATGCCGCTTGCTTTTGGGGTTCAACGTTGCTTAAGACTCAATACCCCAGCGGTGCCACTTTGCAGGAGTGGTCTTGGCCTCCAGCATCTAGTCTGAAATAGAGAGGGGGCTGGCTCTTCCTGGCAACCACACACTTCCCGGAAAAGAGGAAGGCCAAGCCAACAGGGATCTCATCGTGTACTTGCGGACAGTGAGAAGCAAAGGATCGAAATTTCATTGTGGGACAGCTCCTGCCTCTCAGATTCTGACCACTCCGGCACCAGCTACTCACGTCCAGGAGGTGTGGCCAAGTAGCTGTTTAAAACGATAGACGTGCATCGCTTCGTTCGCTTTCAAGCCCTTTTGGATGCCAAATTCACAGCGCTGCCAGGATGCAGCTTCGCACAGCGAGCACTTGTTGAGCGACACTTTGGCCGCAGAGGTGTGTCTCAACCTCGCCCTCCAAAAGCAGAAAGGTCATTGATGATCAATTCTCAGGCATGTATATGATACAGAGGGAGGTAATGCCAGATCCCATCGATGCACGTGCAAGAAGCTCAGCAGGTTCAGCGTTGTTAAGGTGGTTTTGCCAGTAGAACAACATTCAGACGCGGCTGAAGCTTTTTTGCTAGGAACCAGTACTATGCATGCTCACGACTTCGGCTGAGGTGCCATATCAAGGTACTTTAAATTTACCTGGCGGACGTTCATGGGAACAGGAAACATGATGAAACATGGTCTGGTAAGTGCAAGTCTGTTTGTGGATGCAAAGATCTAAAGCATAAACAAAATCTGGGTTTACCCCTGTGAAGATCACTCGCAACCTTGTGACTTGTATACACGGGCCCGCATTGGCATTGCCGGCAAAAGTTCTCACATTATGCTCAGATCTGTTTCGCGTGCGAGATTGCAATGCAGTAACCAAAAGATCCCAGGCCCAGACACATCCAAAGCTTTAATGAAAGTGTGTGGGAGATCCTGTTGGAAGAACATTCCATGATGGTTTTGGTTCAGGAAAGTGGAATGATGTCAGAATGAACAATTCACAGATAAATGGAAGAGATAGCTCTCTCAAGTCTGCAGTTCAGGATCCGCGCTTCCAAGCGCTGGTCTCGAAGTTGCGACCCTATGAGTGCAATCCGCAAAGCCTTGCCAATATGCTGTGGTGCTGCGCCGCCATCCAGGCAGATCTTGTGCGGTGGACCCTGCTATGCATTTGAGGACGGTAAGACGATACTCATCAGGGCCTGTGGGGGAAATTTGACAGCCAACATGGCAATGGATCATAAGAGGCTGGGCCTAAGGCTGGACTGATGTTGAGATTGCTGCGTGCACTTGCACCCAGCTTCACTTACATAAAAAGCGTTACAGTACAGTAACTGACAAGATCTAAACAAGTATTACATGGCCCAACACCGACTGACTCACCCCAAACCCACTTGGCTGGTTTGGAACAGTGATCAGCGATGCAGGCTCAAGACCGTGCTCTTCTGACCTCCATCGCCGCAGCCTTGCACAGCAGCCTTCAGCAAAGCCCTCACGCCTTCGACGCACACAGCCTTGCCAATATTTTGTGCCGCTTGGCAGTACCAACAGAGGAAACAAAGGGAGGGGCCAAGAGTGTTATGCACAAAGCACGCGAGAGCCACCTCCCAGTGTCCTTGCTTTGGCCAGGAGGCTTTGCAGCTGCCACATTTCAACCAGGACATGTTTTGCACATGGTGTCTCAGCATGCAGTGGCACGATGCTAGTAGCAAGAAGCTACTAGGCTGGAGGCCAAGGTTACTACTAGTAACAAGATGCTACTAGTAGCTACTTACAGTATAGAATTTATCTTGAGCATAGACCTCGTCAACAGAGAAACAGGTTGACGCATAAGTTTGTGAATGGTAGGCCATCATGTATGTCCACAGCATCCATTTCTCCAAGTTGCATGTGTTTCTTTTGGTCAATTATTGCAGCCAGCTGTAATGATCCGGAAAGAATCCAGGTTGCAAGCTAGCTGCAGCGTTTGAAGCCTCGGGACGACCTTGCCAACCTCTCGTGGTCATTTGCCCAGCTTCAGCTACATGGCTAAATCAATAAGCTTAAGCTGTGGTGTGGTGTGTGCAGGTGTGGGGATATAGGGTGGCTGTGGAACCGCAGGGCCTTGGGACCTGTGTTCGAGATGACCACATGTGATGACAATAACATGACAGATGCTTGAAATGGCTCTTGCTCAGGCAAATTCTGGGTTGCATTCTTTAGCATTGTGGTCTGGTTGTTTTTTCTGGGGCCTGTGGGTTGAGTCTGCCAGCAACAGGTTGCAGCACCAGCCGGCATTCACCACATCAAGCAGTAACGTCAAGGAGCGGAGCATGTCCACTTCTCAGCAGAGCGAGCATGCACATCAAGGTGCTTGCTGTTTTGGAGCTTGCATGGCTACATTGCAGTGACTGC